AGGAAACTTGGGTTGTAACCTATGCTCTGCCAATAAATGGTGTGATTATTCTAAGCACTACATTCCAGTTCTGCAAAAAGGTGGGGAAAGGAATGGAATTATCAAATTCTAAGGTCTATGGAGGAAAGGTGGGTAAAATGAATAGGCCATGTGATGTAATAAAGTGTGGTTAGGACTGGGGTGAACTAAAGAATATGCCCTGACAAATATTTTAGCTAAGTATTTGCTTAGTGCTGCCAAAAAACATATATTTTTCAAAAGAAACAAGAACATGGACTTTTGTGTGATGTCTTCTGCTTTATATGATGTTGGTACACATCAGGAACATCCACGATCACATTTAGTCACCAGGAGGGTCACTCCCCCTCTTCCCTTTTTCATAGATGAAGATGCAGGAACTCAGAAAGGTTACGTTACATGGCTCCAGGACACAAAGCAATGGGCAGAACTGAAATCTGAACCTATGTGAGTGGCCATCTTTTCAACTTTCACTTCTGGTATTAAAAAAAAAAAAAAGTAAAATTTTGGGCATGTTGATTTTTCTGGAAGTTCACACTTTATTCTTGACCGAAATTTTTTATTTCCTTCTAAGAAAGACTAAGTATTTATTGTAGATCCAACTAACTTCTCAAAAACCTCTTCCGACAGACATAGAAAACTGGCCCAAATTACCATGTTCCCTGGCTGACTGCTTGGAGACAATTAATATCCTGAATTGTTAAGTTCAGAGCACTACTTCAGGCGGCCTTAGGTTCCATGGAACATGTGTCCTAGGAAGGCAGGGAGGGGGGCAAAATGAGAAGGGGCTACAGAGCCCGGCTATCTGCCACCTACTGGCTAGGAGCGTTTTGCTATCGACATCCAGGCTGCTTTCATAGTCCATCATCAGTTGGATGAGTTTTCGTTAGCATGGTGACATTTTAACATGGAGATCTGTCATTTGGTTCTTGATTACTAATGTCTGGATTGCCTGTGGTAGGTGTTTCCAGATTGGCCTTAAACATATTTGAATTAGTATGTTTTGAGAATGAAAGGCTATTCCTAGAAATTACACAACTGTCTTATGTCAAATAAATTTGTTATTTATTCAATATCTGCACCCCTTCTCCCCCAAAAGATGCTATGCTTACCTTCACTGGAGGGTTTAAGGTGTGACAATCTCAACAGATCTTTGTGAGACCAGCCATTTCTTTGTTTGTATTTTGTAACTGCCAGTGCGAGGGCCATACCGCCTTTCCCATTGTACCAGTCTGCTATAGCCTTCCGGAGGGCACGACCCCACATGCCACATTTCATGCTTTCCCTCAGATCTTTCTTAAACTGGATAAACGTGAAGAGATGTGTGGGAATGCGACAAACTTCAGCAACAGCTTTAAATGCCGCTTGCTTTGTGCTTATGTCGGAACACTGGGAACAAATGGCCAGTGCAAAGAGCATGGGCTCCTGCTTGGCGGTTCTGCCTTCTTGACTGAATGACTTGATTTCCTGGATCACTTCACATCCTCTGCCATCTTCAATCAATCTAATTAAAGCTTCGGCATTTTCAAGGCCCAACTTCTGTTCTTTGATATAGTAAGTCCCACCTTCAGAACCAAAACATAAGAAGCGGTGGAGGCGATTCAGATCAGTGACTTGCCATACATATCCATCTTCAGAATTGGCTATCTGCTTCTCATTTAGGGGTTGCAGTTGGTTCACTGAGTCCTCCATTTTTCTGTCTTTTAGGAAACCTAACAAAAAGCAAAATGTTACTTGCCAGATTGACACAGTAAAATTATAAAAAGGGAAACACTTATTAATCTATGCTTATTGAAATCTGCCATGAAATCTTTTGATATAAAAATATTTTTAAAAATATATTTCTTATTGATTTTAGAGAGGAAGATAGAAACATCAATGCTGAAAGAGAATCATTGATTGGCTGTCTCCTGTACGCCCCAACCAGGGATCGAGCTCCGCAACCCAGGCATGTGCCTTTACTGGGAATTGAACCCTGACTGTGACTTCCTGGTTCGTATGTCGACACTCAGCCACTGAGCCACATCAGCTGGGCATAAAAATACTTAAGCTCAGTAAGTGGTACTATGATAACCAGAAGTAACAACTAAGAAGTCACATTTCTGAGTTATAATTTGTTCTTCAGAGACTCAGCAGGCAGCTCAGCAGGGGGTCTGGAGTCCCATATGGAGAATCAAAGGGGTAGCGAGGGCAGTTACAGTAGCTGACGGCTAAGAAAGATCTTAGGACCTTTATTCCCTGAATAACTAACTCGGCAGACGTTGTTGGTTAAATAACCCATATCTGTTCCTCACCTATCCCAACCCCTGAATACTCAAGTGTTGTAAATCCAGATTAATAATAATAAAAAAGAGTTAATTCTTCAGTGGGTTGGCCTGATTTATCCAGTGCTCTTAAAGCACACCACTTCAAAGGATTTATACAGCTACACGTGTTAAGAAGTTAAACTTTTTGGAAGAAATTAAGCAGATTGCAACAATATTAATAGCATGGCCACAACTTGAAATTGGTTGTGGATATTTTACACATTGCCTACTTCTCTTTCTTAGTTGCTTAACTTTGAATGCAGTCAGTGGATGCTAGTAACACAGTATGTAACAGCACTTCTTTCTGCTTTGTACTCATTAGAAGTTATAGCATCTTTTAACAGTACTAATAATATATTACTCCTACAGATTCTTACATAGTAAAGGTTCACATTTGAATTCTTTCCCACGTCTCTTAATCATTTGTTATTTGAAAATGCTACCTTTCACCCCAGAGATCAAACTCATTCTTTTGTAAGAGCTTACTTACACTTATGAAAGAAAGTGTGCAAGACAGCTCATAAAAACCCAATACTGCAAGAACCAGGGTCACACATTCAGAGGACTGTATCATCCAGACTGGGAATGGGCAGGAGTGGATCGAGTCAACATCCGCCCTGAAGGCGCGCACCTTCAGCCTGTGGTACGGGCTTAGTATTGCCAGATCCTTTAATTTTTCTCAAAGGCCTAGAAATCTGGATTTTTAAAACGAACTCTTAGGATTAAATTTTAACAACGAAAGTAAAGAAATCCTAATCCCCTTTTCAGATTATTTGCAGGTTGTATCAAGAGCTAAATTTTCGGTCTGGTCTTTCTTCAAAGAGACACCATGTGAATGAGGTTAGGTTTCAAATACCTGTAAGTTTTGATTTCATTTATTTAGCACAGAAAACACTCTCAAGTTCACCGTAATATTACAGATTAAAAAAGACGACAAATGACCAACACCTTTGGGTCCTGGTGACACTCTGCATAGGTGTGGCCGCTAAGGCTGTAAGGCTACCCCTGAGCCTTACACATTCTCCCATTTGAGTACAATGAACTGGGCAAAGGGAACTGAGGCCCCAGCTGGAGGGAGGCACCCAGGGACAAACCTCAAGAAAGTTCCAGTTAAAAAAAACAACTTGATACAAAGTTTCGCTTCTATTCCACATTATACCCATCTTATCTTAATATAAAAGCTATTCTGTTGTTCCAGTAAAATTTATCGTTTTACTTTGTGGCTTCACATAGGGCAACGCTCACTATGTAACTCCAGGGCGCAGGTCACCTGTTTGATTAGCAAAGAACCAGAGTCTTAGGCACTAAAACATTTTTTTCTTCCTCGCCTTGGAACTCAAGAGGTTTAAGGAATGATGCACAAATATACTTAAAAAATACGTTTAAAAAAATGTTTCAATTTCAGCTGGCATTCAATATTGTGCACAGTACAGTGGTTAGACAACCATATACTTTACAAAGCGTCCCCCGATATTTCTACAGCCGCCTAAAACCATACGTAGCTATTGCAGTATCACTGACTATAGTCCCTGTGCATAAATAAAATAGACTCAAGACTTTCGTCTGAACACGAGCATTCTGCAAGAGCCTGTCGAATGAAGGCCATGCGGGGCTAAACTCATCATGGATGAACACCGCACGTCTCTGCAGCCTCACTTCCTCGGAGGCGTCCCCTTGTCTCCTCCAGCGGTTCTCAACCTGGGGGTCGCCTAAGACCATCGAAAAACATATTGAATATATAATTACATATTGCTTTTGTGATTAATCACTATGTTGTAATTATGTTCAATTTGTCACAATGAAAATACATCCTGCATATCAGATATTTACATTCCGATTCATAACAGTAGCAACATTACAGTTATGAAGTAGCAACGAAAATAATTTTATGGTCGGGGGTCGCCACAACATGAGGAACTGTACTAAAGGGTCGCGGCATTAGGAAGGTTGAGAACCACTAGTCCATCATCCCCGCGCTCCCACCCCCGACTGCAGGGCACAGCTTCCTCCCCACGAAGATCTTTCTTCCCGAACCCAGATCCCGGCACCGCCTCTGGGCAGAGGCCGCGGGAGGAGCGAGAGGAGGGGGTGGTGTGGGGGGTAGGAGGCGGAGGAAGGCGGCGGGCCCTGTGGACGCCGGCCTGCGCGAGC